CCTCCCTGCTCTCCACGCTGCCCACCCACATTTCCTTTTCTTCTCTTTTTTGGCACCGGGAATCGAACTCAGGGCCTTGCACTCGCCAGGCAGGCGCTTGTGCCACTGAGCTGCATCCCCGCCCGAGGGACTTCTTTCCTTTTTATGTTTTCACATTTCCTCTTCATCCGCCCTTCCTGCGGAGGGGCGAGGCCAGGGCCCGCACGCCCGAGTCAGCCTCGCCCACCGTTAGTGAAACCGCACGCCTATCCACCAGAAAGGTTCACAGATGATTTTATTTGCCGTCTCCACCCTCTGAAGGTTTACGGTGACTCCCGTTCTGCACGGAGTCACACTGACACTTCCGGGGCCCTCAGTTCACGGTGCACAGCAAGGGCCAAACCGGGGCCGAAACTCTGTCCTCCAGTGTGGCAGTGCCGCTGGATCAGAGCTGCCGAACCTATGGCACGCGTGCCGCAGTGGGCTGTTTGTGAGCATGGAAAGATCCAAAGGTTCGCCACCATGGCTCTAGCTCCCCAACGCCTGCGATCTCGTGGCTCTTTCCTTGGAGGCCGCGGGGCGACAAGGGATGGAGCTGGGGTCCGAATTTATCCTCCGCCACACCTGACAGTGGGGCCTACGCCGCGGAGCCTCTGCTCTTCATACAAAGGAGCAGGTCTCCCACAGGATTGCCTTAGTCTTTAAAGGGCCAAGAACAATTTCAAATGCATTTTACATCAATTAATCTCCTTTTAAATGTAATTTGAAGGCCCAGGCAGGGACCCTTGAGGATGTGGTTTGCGAGCATAAGCAGGGGGCACCGAGGGAAGGCAGCGAGCTGAGAGCACTGGGAGGGCGAGAGACCTCAGGCATCTCCGTGAGAGGTGCTGTTAGTGACCTTGGGTTTTTATTTTGTTGTTGTTTCTGGTGTTGTGCTTGGCTTGAACCCAAGGCCTTTGCACTGAGCTCCATCTCTTAAAAATGAAGAACAGAAAAACTTAATTTTGAGTTAATGTCTCGCTAAGTTGCTCAATTGCCACGATCAAACTTGTGATCCTCCTGTCTCAGCCTCCCAGAGTCCCTGGATTACAGTGGGCCCGGGAGTGAAGCAGCAGAAGCAGCCCTTCGGGATTTAGACAGCTGTGCGCAGTCCCTCACCCTGCTTTCGGTGCTCCTCCTGCCTCCTCCCTGCGCTCTTTGCCTTCTTAGGGCATCCCGGTTTTCCAGCGATGCCAGAGCGCCCTCTAGTGTTCGTATAGCAATCACGCTTCTCTGCTTTTTTTTCCTTGAAAAAAAATCTGAAACTAAGCAGATAAAAAAATACTTTTAGGGTGGCTCAAACTGATTAAGAGATGTGAGAAAAAATTTTATAATAATGTGAAATAATATGGTGCTCCCTTGGTTCATGTAAGTACTGTGCTGTCTTTTAAAGTTGACTCCTTTTAAATCAGGAGTCCTGGCACATACCTGACATCCCAGCTACTTTGGAGGTTGAGCCAGAAGGATCACAAACTCAAGACCAGCCTGGGCTACTTTTCAAGATCCTGTCTCAAACTAAAAATTTTAAAAAATGAGCTGAGAATGTAACTCGGTGGTAGAACACTTATTTCTACACAGGAGGTTTTGGGGTGAGCTCCCAGCACCACGAAAATAAGTAGATAAGCAATTTGACATGTTTTAGAAAGATCCCTTAAGAAAAGAGAAAAATGAAACACACCCATTTGCTCGGGCCTACTGAGTGCTGGCTTTGGCCCTGAGCTGGTTGGGGCAACTGTCCTTTGTTCCTGAATCTACAGAAGCCACGGTCCTACCTTCTGCCTTTCCTGACTCTGGGCTAACTGCAAGACACTTTAAAACTTTTCAAAAACCTACTTATATAAAATTATGACCTAAAACTGAGACAGTCTCATTTGTGGAAGGAACATTATATCTGTCCCTCAGATATTTATTAAAATAAAAGAACTATGCAAACAAATTCTGAAATTCAGTTTCTGTATTTGCTGTATTCAAATAGTATATGCTGAAAGGCTACATTTTAATTTTGAATTTTAAAAAAACTTTTAGAGAGCAGTCCATAATCTGCCTTTTTCAGCATCAGTATTCAAATATCAAAAAGTGTTCTATTAAAAAGATAACACATGAAAGTGATGTTACTGAAGAAATTATTATTCATCTGAGATTTAAAATGTGTGTTTTTCATTTAGATGAACTGTGATACAAATCCCTTGGAAGCCGGACTGGATTATTTTGTCAAGTTAAACAAGGTATGTTTACATTCCAAAGTGTGCTTGAAGTAAATAGTAAAATGATTACCCTCTTTTGTAACAGAGCCATGCTTTAAAACTTAACCAAGTGTGATTATAGGAAAAATCAGTTGGAACATAAATGCTAAGCATTTCTCAATTCCTTCATATTAATCATTTGTTAAAATTGGACCAGTTCAAACCACTGGAGTGTGTTTGTGGGTTTAAGATACAGAATTCAGCATATTGAAGAGCTAACTCTAAGATAAAAATTAGTGAAGATAAGATGATTATCAGTTCGATTTCAGCAGCCGTCCTTGTAAGAACTGTGGATGTCACAGTAACTCTTGTGACCGCGGCGTTGCTTATCAGCCGACCAGGCAACGGCCTTACTGAGCCTTGCTGGACACTCCCAGCAGCACCCAGTGCTGATGTGGCATCTTCGTCTGGAACTGCAGCACCTGAATAGAAGCGAAGGACTGTTCAAGGGTGTCCAGCATACAGCCGGTACGCACTGAGAAGCTGGTACAGGCCCAAACAATCATAACTGACACGGGCACTCCGGATTTGATACGATTCTGCATCAGTGGTCCTCAGCATTGGACTCAGCAGCAGCACTGGGTTCTCAGGTTCAACCCAGGACCTCTCACAGCGGCTGTGGGAGCCAGGCCAACAAGTGTGTGTTTTAACAAGCCCCGCTCCCAGGACTTGAGAAACACGGCCTTCATAGCTACTGCCCCGATGCTCATTGTGTGGCTAATTTATACAGCCTGCTCAGCTGTACAGCTCCGCAAATACAGAGAGATCACCTCGTTGTGCGGTGTCTGAGAACGGCTACAAGGCCTCCGCGGAGCCCACAGTTGCTGGTAGTACTGAAGGGTGAGGACAGTAGCTGTGGGTGTCTGGGGTACTTGTTAGGGTTCTTGCCTTTAACTGTCCCGCCCCTGGTCCCCAAATGCTGAGCTAAAGTATTAACATAAAATGGATAGATTTATAGAACTTGATTTTAGAAAAAAGAATCTTCTAAAAGGCTTTAAAGGGAATAGCTTCTGTACATTTTTTCCATTGCTTTTATTTTTATGATCTACCATCTGCCTCCAGACCGGAGAAAGCAGGTGCTGAAATTTGGGCAGAGCTCAGCGGGGAATCGGTCCTGCCAATGAGAGAAGTCTTGCTTTGGCTCACGAAAGCCAGCTTTGACTCCTGAAAGCACTGGAGTTCCGCTGTTGGTCACCACTGAGTCAGTGGAGAGCGGATTCTTTTGTTTCAGTGTTTGGAAATTATTGTGTTGGGACAAGGCCTGCATAAGTGGTCTCCTGTTATTGAAATTGGATTCTTAAGACACTCTTTATGGTTGTTAGCAGGGGTGGATTGTGTGTCTGTTAGCTCTTTCAAATGATGTAATCAAACAATCCAAGTTCAGCACTGAAGAAAGTGGCCTGATAGATACTAATTTTGATTGATGGTGTGTTTTTATGATTTCCGAATTGTTGGTTCTCATTCAGGGGTCAGAGAGTTAATCCTTAATTATTTTATCGTATAAAGGTCCATGTAGGCTATAGACTTGGCCCGAACGGAGCCAGGCTTTTCCAGCTGGGTCAGTTCAGGCGGTTAGTTCGTATCAGTCTGTCTGCAGCCATGCATGCTAATTTCTGAGACTGGTGAATGGATTGGATTGACTTTGTTCAGACCGTCTTTGGTGACTTCACAGCAACTTTGGCCTGCTTAATAGCAGTCTATACTGTGAAACAGGTTCCTGGAAGACTTATTACCAGTACAAACTAAGCTATGTAACTTAATATTCAGGCCTGAAGCCTAAAAAGCAAATCCTTACACACTAATGTACAGGAGGCGTGCCCTTTGATGCCCATCAGAAGGGCTCATGTCCCTTTTCAGAATAGTACACTGCAGGTCCCTGTGGCTTTGGAAAGTGATGCAGTGTGGGAATAGAAGCAACACCGATGCGGAGAGATATCTGATACCAAACTAAAAACTGATATTTTGTTCAAAAGCAATTAAGTACAATTCCTTGCTTGGTTCCTAAGCATTTACATGACAGTCTCCTCGGGAGACTGAGGCAAAGGGCGGAGGGGCCCTGGGAGGTCGTGGTGCGGCCAGGTTGCCTCAACATCGTTTTCTACTGTGGAGTCTTAGGGGTGAACTGTCCAGGAATCCCTGTTTTTTCACAGGCTGCCTTTTCTAGACCGGCATCCCCAGAGCATGCCTCTGTTATGCCCGACTTTGTGTTTTACGGTAGGGTTGACACAGCTGCTCTGCTATTTTAAGGAGGAAAGTGGCTGCTTGAGGACATGGACCATCAGGCCAAATTAGGGTGAACTGTCTTCCTGTCCAGACCACCAAGGAAGAGGGCACACTGGGGAACTCTTCCAGGACTAGGGGACATGTGGCGGCCGTGGCTTCCTTCCTGCCCAGGAAGGGTCAGCTCAGGCAGCCCCCGCCTGGCTGGGGTGAGGCAGGCCCAAGAACACATGTGCATCTGGGAAGCCTTTGCTGCAGGCATTTATGAAACACCTTGCTGAAAGTTAACGGTGCTGTGTGCTTCTGACAGTGCTGTGGTCTTGGGAAGCCTGAAAACAAATGGTGTTTCCGGAAGCAGAGCTGGGCCGTGTGTCCTAAGCCTTGATCTAGAAACAGCAGTCAGCGGTGCGCGGCACTGTCCCTCGCGGAGGTGAAAATCATGGCATCCTCAGCTCCTCTTGGGGTCAAACGATTACACCTGCTGCATTTGCCAGAAATAAAATGATACATAAGACTTCTTCAGGAAAGCTGTTCTCTTAAAATATCTTTATAGTGATATCCAGGGGAAAAGCCTCTTCTTTTAGCTAGTGTACTTCTTGTAATGAGGATGGCATTTCCTTTTGTCTTAAAAATACAATTGATACTCATTTTTAAAAACAGCTTTTTGATTAGTGCACGTTTGCAGTACATGCAGCTCACAGTCACCTTGGGGCATGGGTGCAGGTGTTGTAGTTGAGTGGGCCAAAATAGGCCAGGCTTGTGCACTACCAGGAAAGAATTGCCCAGCGTACACCTTGCAGTTAGCAGTAAGTAGCTCCGTTTGTTGAAGATGGTGGGATAGCAGCAGGAACAGGCAGAAGGACAAAGAGAAAAAAAGGGGAAGAGGAAGGCTTGGTAACTCAGGCTTCCGATATTTAAAGGCTCAGACACCCCTGACCCCCGTGTCTCCTGTTCCGTCTCCCTCTGGTGTCGATGATCTGCTGCCTCTGCGACCTCCTGAGCTTAGCCCTGGGAACCGTTAGGGTGGGGCTGTGTTTATTGCTGAGTGAAGGGAGGGGAGCAGCTCCCTCTGCTCCCTGCTTCTAACTGCACATAATACAGGTTGTTTCTTTTTCAATCCCCTCCCCTCACTCTCCCTCCTCATTTAATTCCCCTCACCCCATCTTCATTCTTATTGCTGTTATCAATCTTAGCTCAAGTTTATGGCATATAATGCGTGCATCCATTGAGGTTGTTAGGTTCCTACACATCCTTATTCCACCTCTTCCCCTGCCCTCACCCCTCACCCTTCACCTCTTGGACCCCTTCCTGTTTGCAAAAGATCCATCTCCTTGTCCCCTTCTCTCCATCCTTTATTATTCTCTTTGTTTGTGCTTTCCCTTGCTCAAATGAGAGGTACTGCGTGGTATTTAAGCTCGTGCATCTGGTTTATTTCACTCAACATTATATTTTCCAGGTGCATCCATTTTGCTACAGATGCCTCAAATTTGTCCTTCTTTATAGCCAAATAGTATTCCAGTATGCATAGATTCAATATATTTGTAAAGAAATGGAATTATTGATTGGGAGTTTTGGTCTTAGTGTCAGTAGAGCTTAGATCTACCCTCTCCTCCAGTGAGTACCCAGGGAGGTTGGTCACAAGGCTGGGAAGAGCAAGCACTGGGTGCTCAGCAACCACTCAGAGAATGGAAGCTACTCCAAGGGACCCATTTTACAACCAGTCCACTTCGATTCAGTAAATAAGATTCTTCATTAGAACAGAGGTAGAGATATTTTGGGTTCTCACAGTCTGCCTCTGAGAGATGTGTCAAAGTATATCTTGTGGAAGAACACCTACGGCTTCCATGACACAGTATAAAAAGCTAAAAGGTTCTTATATTCCTGATTTTCCATCATAAATCACTATCTATTATTATATGAACAAGATAACCTTGTTAAGCACAGTATAGTTACAACTGAACCCCGTGTCATTTGTGCAGTTAATTTAAATATACATAATAGTAATTTTCTTGAAAAATTATTTATTTTCAAGTTGTAAATAATAGCCACAAACTCATCTAAGTTAAATCTTTTCAATCCTCACAATATTCAGTCAACAAGCAGATCACTTATACTAACATATGAAGGGTATTTTCTCAATTGTTTCTGGGATATACAAAAATAAAGACACATCTTATTTTCTAGGGGCTTATACTGTAGCAGAAAGACAAGACACATAAATATCTTGATAATAAGCCTGACTCAGGAATTAGACTCTCCTAACTAGCCCTTCTTACTTGAAACAACTCTTATTATTGGTTGTAATAGAATTCTGTCTTGTTCCAAAAGAAGTTACTTTGGGGGAAGAAACCAGTTACATTTATTTTTAGTTGGAAATAGAAGAACTGAGTTAACAGAATCAAAAGGAAAATCAGCTGCCTTAGGATAGAGTCATAGGCGTTCTTAGAATTTGCTTCTCGGAATTAGTGAATCTGTCCATTTCTGGAGAATCACCACCAAGCTTCACAGAGAATTAAGGACTGAGTGTAACATACTTAAATAGATCAGAAAAAGTTTCTTCCTATGTTTGGTCTTCCTCCTCTTCTTCCCCTGTCTTGAGCTTCTAACCAGGAGAAACAGAGCAAAATATAACAAACATTGAGCCCAAATTAGATGGCCATGCTAACTCCAGAAAATATAGAGTCTCTCTATGAGGAAGTGTTATTTAAAGCACAACTGTTCAGTAAGCAAAAAGAAAAAAGTCCAGCTAGCAAAGAATGAAG